ATTCCTGCTAAACACAATTAAATGCTTACTGTTTAGCATTGCTTTGGAGATAGTTTCCTAACACAACCTAATAGCTCCAATTTTTTTTCAGGCTGAAGTGTTTAAGTTCCAGTCATTGTTCTCTTTTCTCTCTCAGGCCAGTGGAAACATTGTTGTGAAAAACTTATGAAAATTGAGATTATGTCACCACGGAAACCACCTTTGTTCTTGACAAAAGAAGCGACCTTCAGCTACCATGATATGAGTAAGTGGGATTTGTCTTTTCAAGTTGCAGGGTAACAGAAACAACATTGTCTGTATTCAAATGGCTTCTGGTGTTGATGTTGAAACACTGAGTTTTTCAAGGGCAATTCAGACAATGAAAGAGCAACATAATTGCATACCAAGGAGTTCATGTTAAATCTGAATTTGTAATAGCACAAATAATGAATACATTTTTATACCTTGAGCCAAAAAGTCTGCAATCAGGACTGTAACTGGAGAGCCCTGAACACATTAAAAAAAGCTGTCACTAGAAATAAACATTCATTGTAAGAGTAGTATAGAGCTCAGGAAATGTAAAGGTGAAATAGTCTGGTCTGCAAACCAATAATGTCTTTAACTAGTTGCATGAAATTAATTTGGTGTTCTGAAAGCTATTTAAAGGCTTTACCTAATATAACTTACCTCATTGTTTGGTCTTTGGTAATGATGTTGAAAAATACGCTTGGAAAATCTATCTAGCATGTATTTGAGACTTCTATTTTTACAGAGCAAAATGGTATGCAGTAGGATTATTTTAATAGTTTCATTACAGAAATAATATTTACTGACTAGAAAAAGTAGGTCACTTTGTTTTAATGGATCCAATGCAGTATTGGCTGAGAAACACTGTACAACTATAAATGCCTGACTGCTTGCTGCTTGAGATTGGAGCTGTGAAGATGCTCAAAATGCCATGTGGGTCATTGAGTTACCGTGCATCACAGCACTGAACAGTCAGGAGAGTCCTATCTGAGCTATGAATGCAGAGCAGTAGGGCAGTAAATCAACTATATAGAAGTTTTACGAAGGTAACGCTGTAGCATAATTCTGCTGACACTCAAGTACATCAGTGAGGAGCAGAACACAGACTCTGTTTCATTTTTAATATACCAATTTTTTTCCTGCTTATTTATAGTATTAATAGGTAAACCTCTTTGTCTAAAAATGTGTTGAAAATCATTAACTTGTGGCCTGCAATAAAAAAGATATTTCTGCTGGTTTAGAGGCTAGTATTACTGCAGTATACATAGAAAACTCAATATGAGGGAAAAGACACGGGGCAAGACAGTCTTAAAGCACATAAAGAAAAATGATATATGTAAAGATGTCTCATTTTTTGCAGGCTGAAAGCACAAGAATATTTAGTTATAGACTTTTTCGTGGGCCTTCAGTGAAACAAAATTTTCAAAGCACTGTACAACAAAATATGTTTAGTATCTAATATCTGTGAGTTTTCTAGTAGTACGGTTTTTTTTTCTCCTTGGAAAGAAATACCAATGTTTACTCTGTTGCCTCAATGCCAGCTGTCATGAAAACAGCTCCCTCCTATCACCTAGTTCTTTCTTGGAGAGCATATGTAATCTTTACTACTTCATCCATCCAGACTTCATGAGACGTAGTTAATATAATTTTGTATTCTGAATAGTAATAACAAAACAGGTAGCAGTAAAATCATTGGTAGCATTTTAATCCAAGTTAATTGCTGTCCCTTAAAATTACAGGCATTGATTCTCCAGTGAAACATGAGGGCTTAACTGATACCATACAAAGAAAAATCGAAGAGAGTGATGGCGAGTTCCTGCTTGGCCAGCAAAAGGAGTCTGCATCTTCCTTATGGGCTTCACTCTTTGATGGATCTCATGAGATTGTTGTTCAGAAAAGCATGCATCCAGACTCAAAAAGAGATACTGCAAGTCCTAATGATAGCAGAGGAAAGAAAAGAAGAGCTCCACCTCCACCCTCTGATAAGTCACCATACAGTGCAAAAGCACAGGTGAACACAGAGCAGTTGGGCAAGGAAAACCAGGAGAAGGCTGACTGCGCATCTGCTAGTAGTTCTTCCTTAGACTCAGAGATACCCACAAAAATGCAGCGCTTGCAGGCACCCACTGCTGCTCCTCGCAGACTTGGTCCTTGTAGAAAAAACAGTTTAGCTGACCATGAGAATTCCATTTCACTGGTTACCAAGGCTGAGTCAGAAACCAAACCAGTAGCAAGCCCTACATGTAAATGGATTACAGAAATGCTGCACCCTAGATCATGGTTCCAGCCATAGACACCATAGTTAGCTTAGAAAAGTCCCTCGAATTTAGAGTTTCTTAACCTTATACTGTAATTTGAGTAAAAATAAATTTTTAGCATATAGCTTTTAAGTATTGAGGCTAAAGTGTTTTTTTCTTCTAGCCAGGGCATTACTACTGGCTGCCGTCTCAGCTCTACTCACTTTGCTAACATCCAAATAATTGTGTAAGTTAACAGGAGGAGTTATCTCTATCTGACATAACGGTGCTACTTCTGAAAAGAGTGGTTCAGTACTTTCCCCTTGCAAAACCAGCAGTGTTCAGGGTCACTTAGTGTCCCTGCATCAGAGATGTTGTCATTGCCTTCTATCAGTCCCTCAGCTCTGCTCATCTGCAGCTCCTCAGACTTGAACAAGTGGGAATATCACACAGATTCAGCACACATCTTGCAAAGCTCACTTTCCTGAGTTCCACGCTTGTCTTCACCTAAAATATTCTTGTCTCTCTCTCACTGGGAACCACTGTTTATAAGTTAATGAGAAGTTATTGTGCTCTTCTGAGTGGCTCTGTAACTCCATATGAATTTCTGAAGCAGTTCTACCAATTTAGTGTGGGATCTCCTAAGTTCTTGCTGGTGCTTGTGCTGACTGAATGGACCAGGATTATCTGTGTCTGAGCAAGAATATGATCCATCACTGGTGCTTATTTTGGACTAACAGAAACATTTAAAAGCAGTGCTGTGTGTGAACATCTGTGCAGGTTTTCATTTTTATGGTTGTTTTCTTCTGACGAATGGGGCTCTGTAGCATAGCTTCTCCGTTGTGGAGCCTCTCAGCTGTTCCTGGTGGATAGCTGGTTTGTAAACGTGGCGGTGTTACTGGTAAATAAATAGGGTTTTTTCACAAGTTGTTCTTTCTGAAATAACAGAATAAGTATTTCAGGTGAAAGCATTGAACTTTGGTATTCTTCCATCAGACTGTTCAGCATTTTTGAAAGAAGCATGAGTTATTAGGGTTACTGTGGCACCTGCAAAACATCTGTTGCATACAGAAAAGATTCTAATCTCCACAGCTTAAATATCCAACCTTTTCCTTAGTTGATGCATTTATCTCAGATGCTGGAACTCACCCAAGAGCAAAGGTGTGCTTGCAGATCTCCCTCTAGAGCCTTGGTATTCAGACCTGTGTTGAGAGAGTGGTATCAGCAACTGTATACATATAGTTCATTAATTTATTTTTCTTTTTCCTAAAGTCCAGATGGCTTTGGGGGCTTTACCATTTCTCCAAAAATATAGTGTGTGTGTTTGGTTTGTTTAATCTACTTTTTGTCTTCTGCTAAGCTCTGGGCTGCACAGCTGTAGAGGTATCTGCTGAATTCCCTCAGTGGTTCGTTGGCTATTTGGGGTTGGGCTTGAGAGGCAGGTTTCATTTGGAAACCCTTTCTCAAGATTAGAGCCCTTCATTTCTAGAACGTCCTTGTTCATTCTTCGTTTAATCACATTCCATTTTCCCTCTGAAACAACCATAATCATTCTTACAATAAATCATGCTGTTACTTAAGTGGATGGTTTGTGAATGGTTTATAAATAGGAGCAGAAAAACTGAAGAATAACTACATGATTATGTAAATTAGACACAGTTGACTAAGTGGACTGTGCAACTCTGAACAAGAAATAGGAAAAATAAAGGGGGGGAAGCATATTTTCCAAAATGCAGCTGCAGTTTATTTAGCTTTAAATCTAGCCTTAAATGTTCCTGTGCTCTGGAAAGAAAGAATACCTTTTATTATTTTTTTTTTTCATGGTAACCCCCTTCCATTTAGTTGTTATATTTCAAAATAAATCTCATAAATATATAAGGCAAGAAAGCGCCATAATGAGGATTTATTTTTAAATTCAACAGGCCACTGAATTTCAATGAGCAGTTTCTCTATTAAATTCAGTGGCTTTTTTTTGAACTGCAACATACATATTTTAGGAAGCCATTTAATATTAATTGAAAGTCTTCAAGTGATGAGAATTCACTCATACCTCCTGTTGCAATAGTTAATTACCCCAGGTACATTTTTCAGTTGATTTTCTATTTGCATTTCTAGCTCCACCTTAAGTTATTTTGGTCTTTTTATGTCTGTGATTGCTTATATTGATCTCTGTAGTATCAGCTTTTCTAATTGCTCGTGTGTAGTTATAAATCATGATTATGTCCCTTTTAACCTTTTCTCTGATGAGATGTACTGAATTCCTTAACTTTCTTATGGCAGTGAATGTTATCCAAGACTAATCTTCACTTTCTTCTCTGTACTTCTCATGAATTGAAATATTTTCAAGTGTGACATCTGAATTAGATGCCACATGTCAATCGTGACCCATCAGGCTATAGAGAGACATAATGTGATCCTCTTCCTCTGATTAATATCTTCTTCCCTTCTTTTCTCAAAAATTGTATTATCCTTTTTTTTGTGGAAGCATTGCCTTGGATGCTGACTTTTATGGCTCAAGTCCTCTTCAGTCTTTTCCAAGAATGCGGTACATCATCCCCTTATTACCCTACCTTATTTTTTCTTGGAAATATACACTGTATTTTACCGGCATTAAAATACTGCTCATGAAGTGATCCAGATTGCTCTGTATAAGTGACCTGTCCTCATTCTTTACTACTCCAGCAGTCTTCATGTCCTTTGCAAATTTATTGCAAGTGATTTTTACAGTTTCTTCCAGATCATTGATTTTTAAAATTGAATGCAAGGCAAGGTTAGTAGAGAGAGGTGATAAGTTTTTATTACGTCAGTGACATGGGCAGGGGGGTGGGGAAAAGCAAACAGACAGGCTGTTGAGTTCGTGTCCCTTTTTTTCCCAGAGCCGTTAAAAAATGGAAAAAGATGGAAAACAACTACACTTCTCACCTAATCCCTGTTAATACTGCATTTTGAAATTAGTTTTCTGTCTTCAGCCTAACATTCTGTATTGATTTGATCTAGTAGTGGTATTTTAAAGAAAATTACATCTTCATCTGGTTTTCACTAGGAGACTTAGGGTTCTTAAGGATAACGCCTCAGTGCAGGTGTCTGCAAGCCAAACTTACTCTATATCAAAGAGTAAAATGCATCCTGTTGTTCAGGACCAATTCTCCATGGAGCTCATTTTATTTCTACCCTTAAATTAGGCTCCTATCAGCCAGTTGACTATATTGTCCCAATCACCACTGAGCAAACTAGGCCATTAGTTTCCCTGATCATCCTGCTTCAGAGCAGTGTTATTCTTGCAGTCCTGTGAAACATCGTGGCAGTGTTGAGACTTGTTAAACTAATTGCACATTTAGGCTCCTACAGCTTGAAAGGCTTCTGCTACTGAATGTAGTTTCTGTTATTTTAAACAACCACTATATAATCCCTATTATGAAGCATTAGTTGACTTCAGGTTTTAGTGTTTATTGTTGCTGACTTAGTGTTGGTTGTGGGTTTGTTTTTGGTTTTTGTTTGCCTTTGCATCTTCTGTTAAGCAAGTTGGTTTAACTGATAAAAACTGCAGGCTACCAGCAAACGTTGATCTTAGCTATGCAGTGAAGTCAGTTGTAGGAAATACATTTGTACTCTGCTTCTGTCTACACAAAAGAACATAAATATTAGTAATAAAAACAGAGCACAATTTTAGGAGTGTAATTAGAAAAGAGATCTGTGAGGAAAACTGACATTTTTTGGCTTTTCCATATAGTGACAAATTGTAATACTTCATTACCAATACTGGTCCCTTATCTTTGCAAGGGCTTGGTTGGAAATTAGAACTCTGCCTTTGTCTTTTTTCTCAAGTTTTCCTGGCTGTAATGAGGATGATTATTCAAAAAAGGAGTTAAGACCGATAAATTGCTCGTACCCAAGCACTCTAACAGGAGGAAGCCAGCTACACCGTGGTGTGGTGCAGTGATGTTTTGGATGTTGCACTGACTCACTTCCCGGGCTGTGTGGTTTTAAGGACGTGGCCTGAGGTGGTTGCTGAAGCCTGTCTGTTGGTAGTGCACGGGGCGAGGGAGCTGTTGGCTTTCATCCTTCAAAGTGGAGAGGAGGGGTGGAGAGGCAGAAGGCAGCCTGGTCCTTACGGGACGTGGTGGAAACTGTTTAGCTGCTGCTGCTGGGCACTGCAAGAAAGTGTACCCATAAGCCATCTTATCAGCTGCATTCGATGATAAGGGTGCTTTAATTGCATTACGCAAGGTATCAGCGAACAAAAATGAAAAGTCATTTGATTAGCATCTGCAAGCAATGCCAAAGTAGGAAACATTTCACGAGTGCACTGGTGACATTAGCCAGCCTCCTGCCGGGAGGAGGCTTGGAAGACAGCAGGAGGCCTGTGGCTTCTCCCAGCCCTTGCGCCCATTGCCCCATGTCCGTGTTTGTGCAGGTGAGTGGGTGTGCTGCTGCCTGGCACTGGAGTCCCTGGAAAAACGGGATTTGTTCAGACGCTGCACCCAGAATGGCTCAAACTACCCTGTGTAGCCCAGTGAAGACATTGGTGGCATCTGCTACGGCTGAGCTACACACGGGATCAGGTACTTTTCTGAGGGATATATCAGGCCCGCTCTGAAAATTGTACCTGCTTCTTTGCTGCTGAAATGAATAAATTGCTGCTTAAAAGCAGAATTAAGTAGTGGGATTGCCGTCTTGAAGTCGGGCAGAGACAATAGTCAGCCTGAACTCTTCTTTTAGGAAGAACAACTTGAAAGCAATCGCTAGTCCAGACTTGAATATAAATTCCACAGACCATGAACAACTTTTGAAATATTGACTGAATAAAGACGTAATTTAGTAACTTCTTACATTGTACCTAATGTCTTCAGCTGTTGACTTGGTCTTGGAATGTTAGACGGTGCCTTTTGCAACTTTAAAGACATTAGCTTAAAATGTTTACATTTTTGCTGGTATTGTGATTTTGTTTCTGTGTTAGTTATATTAATAGTTATTTTACGGTGGTTTGTACATATTTGGGAATACTGTCATCAGAGTTGATTTGTAATTAATGTAGATTGTTTTAATAGAAAAATGC